TAAGTAATTGTAGGTATAGGTATTAAAAAAATGTAATGTAAATTCAAAAAGTCAGAAAGTCAGTATAACAATACAATAATATATATAAATCACCTTCAAATTTTCATAATATATGTCAATGTTTCAATACTCATTAATATATTTCTTATATATGTAATATGTTTAACTTAACGTATATATTTTATTTCCATAGCAAAAACACATGCATTACTCAAATAAATTTGCCATTAATTCTAATAAATTGTAAAATAACTGTTTGTACTATAATTAACTGATTAAAAGATAAGCTTGTAAATTAAATACAATTTAATACACATAATATAAATTGCACGTTAAGTATAAAAATTAGTTTCAAAGATACAAAATATAAATTGAAAAATATTTTCAATAGCAACTTATTTTTTAGGTAGATATTTAAAATAATCATCATAACAGACTTCAAACTTTTGTTAATAAAACTTAATTTGAATTAGCGTAATATTTTACTTACCAAGTTGAACTTTATTCAACGGGCAGTTGTGTTCCATTTAAAATTTATCCTCCAGAAATAAAATATGTTATAAAAAATTTACAAAATTTGAATCGTTAGAAATAATATACATACACATGTTACTATAGGCGACAAATACAACTTGTAACAGAAATATTTTATTTTAATATTTGGTATTTACTATTTACGTTATCTACGTCATTTTAACACATACAATTCTAAAGCCCTGATTTACATATTCAAAAATACTCTATGATTCCTAACGTAACAAATAGCAACATTTTCGTGTGGGTGTTTTAAAATTAGATATCCTGTTGTGTATCTACTATCTATAAAATATAATTCTATGTATCATTAGGAATAATATTTTAGATCTATCAAAAATAAAAACTGGATAGTGGATCCTGATTTGCTAGTTACGTTTTTATTCATTATTATAATAATTAATAACACTTATAAATTATAAACGTTTTATAAGTCATAAGCATAACCTTGTACATAAATACTTAAATTTGATCTAGTCGCTTGGCGTCTATTCGTCATAACAACCAAAGTATAACTTTTATAACTTTTAAAAATAGCTGAGAAAAAAATTCAGGGAAAATCCAAAAGTTTTACACAAAATCCATTTTTGAAAAATGGATTTGTTTTTTATTTTAATTCAAAAATTAATAACTGTAGACTTTAAATTTTTTCCAAATATTTATGTCAGTATTTACAAGACGTAATAATTTATAGAAATGATTTTGGTATAATATTTAAAACTATTTGGAATATAATATATATATTTTATACATTACTTTTTATAGTTGTATTTCGAATGCATGATTTAATTTTTTTTTTTTTAAGTTAAAATGATTGAAAATTTAAAACAAGGTTTCTCATAAGTTATTTATAAACCAATTAAAACCATTAAAAATTGAGTAACATTTTTTTTTTAAAAAGATCAAATTTTTATAAAATTCAATTTTATACAATTTTCATAAAAATTTAACAATATATAACCTTTCTTTAAATCAAACATAAATAGTTTCTTTTTTATGAACTGTACTAAATAAATATTGTTTTTGAAAAGCCTTGTTTTTTTTTTTTATTATTATTAGATACTTACCAAATAAAAGTAAGTACAAATGCGTAATTCATTATATACAACTATTTAACTATGAATAATAAATATTTGAATAAAATATGTCCAAAATAAATATAGATAGGTTCACAATTTTAGTCTTAAGTATCTACCTGTATTATTATATAAAAAAAAGAATAATGATCTAATTTTGAAAAAAATGTTGAAATAAGTAATAACAAGTGCTTAAAAAAAAAAAAAAAAGTATGGCTATTATATTCTAGAACAGGGGTTCCCAACCTTTTTATCATCGAGTACCACCAGACACTTTTATAATCAATACACGTACCACCTCAATTTTAAAACTAAATTAGGAGTCAAATTTTTTTTAGCGTATATTTTTATTATTCATTCAATTCTTTACATTTTTATTATTTGATATTTATGAAAGTAAAAAAAATCATAATTTTTAGTTAAATCTAAATATTTAAATTTTAAATTACAATTTTCAAATTAATAAAAAAAAATAATAAATATAAATAATAATAAAATTAAATAAATAAAATTAATGTGATATTTGTTGTTGTTTATTTTTTACAAGGTCATCAATATACCATATTATATAAAATATAATATAAATAACACAAACGTTAAAACACTTAAAACTATAAGAATGCGCTTTATCGATAAGAATAGATTATCTAAAATTCTAAATTGCTACGATTACAAACCCCATGTTATCGACATTAAATTTATTTTGATAAAATAATAATTTTATAAAATTAGCTAATATCAAATAAACTAAACTAAATAATATTGAATGCAAATAGTAATAAAAAAATTTCTTCGCGTACCACCTACGAGCCTTCCGCGTACCACTAGTGGTACGCGTACCACGGGTTGGGAACCTCTGTTCTAGAAGCTGCACTAGAAGTTTATTATGTTACCACTTGTTTTAATAATGGTGTATTTAAAATATTAATTTTCAATTTAATTAAAATAATCATTGTATCAACAATATAATGTATCGTACATAATATTTTAACATAATGAATACAAAAATCAAAAGATATTAATTTTAAAAACTACAAAAGTTTCAAAATATCTTCTATTTCATGCTTTTGACAAGTAAAAACGTAAACTTTTTGTTATTACAAGGAGCAACTTTGTATATTTATTTATATAGAATATTAAGTTTAATATTCTATGCTTAGAAAATATGTTCAACAATTAATTTAATCAACTAAAAAAGTATGTACCAGTTGAAAATATTATTTAAAAAGTAGCAAAATAATTTATTGATCTATTACAGTTTCTCAAATTGTTAGTAATATCTATAATATTGTATTTTATTCAAAAACTTGTATGATTAGTAGTAAATCTTTTTTTTTAAACTCTTCATCTTAATTGATGTTTCAGGATTTAATTTAGGGATTTTCTATCTTTTATTCAAGCTAGAATAAGTAAATAAATTCTTATATAAGTACATGTATAGCAAGTATTTAGTTAATAATGGTTAAAATTTTTAATTTTAATATTTATTGACTAAATGAATACAGTCATAATATAAAGTGTATATATTTAATACAAGTAAATTTCAATAAATTAATCATATATTTTATAAATAATTTTAAGTTAAATAAAAATTTGTATTCAAAACATATTCATTTATAGCTTGCATAGATATAGGTTTTATTGCGTACCTATTGGCTATAAGATAAAAAAAAAACCAAATAAATTAAACAGAATATTTCATCGCACGCGTCTCACTTTCAACTTTTTTATTACCACTCTATCCACCATCAACGTGAAATGTCCCCATCAAACTACCCTTGGTAATGGACATCGGACCAACAACCAAACAAAAAGAAAGAATAAGAGAGACTATCGTTTTTCCAAATTTCTAATAGACAAAATCCAAACGAAAAAAAAAAAGGAAAAAACTCATGAAAATATGCAAGAAAAATTACATAAAATATGTAGTGGTGGCTTAATGTGACGGACAATTGATAAATATTTGACAGCTATAAATGACTATAACTAATATAATTATATACATAAAAACTGTACCTAATTGGAATTTATTTCCGTAATAAAGAAATATTATTACTTAAACTTAAATATAGGTACCAAATCTGCCTATTGAACAACGGATTGTATTAAAATCTTTAAATTTAATAAAAACAATTTTTTCAAATTAATTTGATTTTTCAATACCGATAAACATTATTTTGTCAATGCAATTATAACCTAAGCTCATTAAAGTACCTATAATGAAATGTGAACATGTAAACATAATTTATTCATATCATAAACCCCACTATATATTTATTATTTATATAATTTATAGAGTAACGTCAGTAAACCCAAGTTTTAGAAAGAATTATATAGTGCATTAATAAATTATTCACGTTTTTTTTTTTTTTTTTTTTGTATGGAGACATGCATCTCAATTGAAAATAAAAAATAATAATTTCGTCAGACAAAAACCAGGGCGTAATCTGAACACCGTATACATTTATAATTCGTCTCACGTTAATCATAACATAACATAATATCGAGTACCTACACGGCGGCAGTGTTAACCGCACAGGGATCCGCGTACGCAGACGTCAGAAATGTAACCGTGTTTTTCGACGGTCTCGCCCGGTTACCGGTGACGGGATGTGGCGTCGGTAACGTGGTAGCCGGTAACCTTTGCAGGGCGTCCGATTTAGTATGAGTATTCACACACGCGCGCGCGCGTACACACACTCCGACAGACGACGACCGACACTCACACAGTCTCACACACACACATACACATACAAAATACGCTTCTTGTGCGGTGTCGTCCGCCTTGCCCACACCGCACTCGTATAATTTATAATATTACGTTGCGTTCGGTTTTCGGCTAACCGATTGTTGTTATTGTAATCGAAATCAACATATATTCCCCCAACAGCGATAAAAAAAAAAAAATAAAAAAAAAAATCACGCGATCCCAAATGTTTCAGACGGCTTTGCTGCTCTCTGTACGCTTTTAATAATACCTACTACAATTTATTATTATGCTTGATAATTTATACAGCCCGTACCAACGACCACCACCACCCCCAACTGTTCGGCATTTGTTGTTTTTACAATAATTAAAACGGTTTTGGACGAGCCGACTCACGCCCGCGGGCGGTAACGGCAACAGAGAAAACAGATATGAAAAAAAAATAAATAAATAAATAAATAAACATTTCGACGTAAATACGTAAAATATCCAAAATGAAATCATATTATTATTATTATTATTATAATGATATTTGACCGCGCAGCAATTCGCTGTACGCTTGGCCGAGGTCGCCTCGACCCGACATAACGCCGACTCGACCGAACACCGACAGCAGCAGCACCGGCGGCGGCGGCGGCGTCGTCGTCGTCGGTCGTCCCCGGTCGTCATTCAGTCGGTCCTAAAAAACCGCATCGTTCACATAGCGCTGTGTGTGTGTGCGTGTGTGTTTCGTGTGCGTGCGCGTGTGTGTGAGTGTGTACCGCTTACGTTTGTGTGTGTGAGTGCGTCCGTCGGTCGTGTACGCCGATACAATACCATCATAACGCGATCCCGATACCGACTCGCCCGTCCATTCACGCAGTCATTAATCTCATTTAGTTGTCGTTATTATTATTACTGCAATCGTCGTTATTACACGTTTGGTTACTTTGAGTTTATTTTATTTTCCCCCCCGGTGTCGTCCGCTTTGCATGGGATCGTCGTCTGTCTTCTGCCACTGCCGCCGCCGCCACTGCAACACCCTACTCCGAGCTCAAAGGTACGTCTCGTCTTCCGTACGCACCGCCAACAACGGTAGCATGGATTATATATTTTATTGTCTTTATTGCATAAGCACGCCCGTTATATTGTTATTTTAATTGTGTTACTATTGTCGTCGATTGTGCGCGCGATCAGCGGATATCATCCGCCCATCCGACGCGTTTCCGGTCGTGCCGTATCCTTTCCGCGTCTCACGTCGTTCAACGGCAGTGAACGTCGTCGTCTCACGCCCGTCCGGTGACATTTCACGGTAGCCGTACGCGCAAAACTCTACGACACCGACGCCCGATCGGACTTGTTGCGATTTTCCGTTTCGATATTTTCGTTAACATCATTCCGTTAGCGTGTCTCTCCGACTTCTCCTTGCCCCCTGTCCACCCGTCTATCGTCTAATCATCTGCCGTTCGCGTCCGCTCCGGTCCGGTCAATCGCGTAGTCTTATCAGTACGTTGAAACGCCGTCGTTTCCGTCGTTTGTTCTCGCTAGTTTTGTGTTTGCTTTTTTTCAATATTTTTTTTTACCCTTGTGTTCCGGTCATTTGCGATTAACATTCACGACGTCTCGTGATCGGATCGATTCTCTCTGGTATGTACCTTCTGAAACGCGGCGTCTGTACGAATTTATTTTCGCACACCCCGCCCCTCGTTGGTCCACTTGACTATTGAACCACATCCCCCACCCCCTGACTTTTCTTCACTCTTCTACGAATGGTGGACTGTGTTATTATTTAATTTTTCTTAATTAATTATCCATTCTTATACATTTAAGTCATTTTCAATCATTCGCAAAGGGTGTACGTTGAGCATGACGTCTTCTAGCCTACCATGCACAAATACCTATTTTTTTCTCTCACAACCTATAATAATTGAGCGTAACAGTGATTTCCTGTGAATGTTTATATTCCTATTTAAATATTAAGTAATTATAAAATTAAACTTAGGTACCTACCAATTAAATTAAATTTTCAGAAATATCAAACCAATTTAAGGACTTAGTACTTTTTATACCAATTTATATTTATAGTAGGGTCTCGTTAATCCAAACGAGATTCAGGATAGGGATTATTCTGATTACTTATGACTTAAAAAAAATCAATTTTCTTGCAATTTAAATTTTGAAATTTATTTTTATCTGTACTGCATAATTTGTTATAATTTGTTGTTGAAAAACACAATGAATACAATCAAAATCATTATAATTATGTTTATTTAGCCAGTTAATATATACATATTATATTGCATATTATTATGATACATCTACATGTCTGTATTAGTATAGCGATGCAGCAATTTCCAAGCCCGTTCGGATTAACAAGACCCTACTGTATCTACTTACTAATTCTCTGAGATACCTCCGAGTAATTAATTATAACATTTTCAATTATATAATAATTTTTTTCATAGCTAAATTTATTTTTGTATTTGTTATAATTAAGAGTTAAGTACATTTTTATTTATTGTTTAGATTACTTAGATATTAATATCTAAATCATATATATAATATGAGTCACTTACTTGCTTTTATTAATCAACTAATGTTTTTCAATTTTGCACATTCATTGTTCATAATATGTGTATACCCATATTTCATTTTCTGTTTAAAAAAAATACAGTATTTTTTACATTTATACAGTAAATTGTCATCAAAATATCTAGTAGTACTACAGCATCCAACTCTAAATATTTTTTAATATTTATTAAACCTCAAATTTAACATGTATAATTTACTTTACGCATGATTGAAAATAAAAATTACATTAAATATTATGCAAATCTAATATTTGATTTATTTATCATAGGTATATAATATTTATTGTTTAAACCTATAATACTAGTTTACATATATTACGATAAGTATGCTAAAATTATTTATACAAAATAGTTACAATCGATACCTAGTTTCAAAAAAAATTTGTTTAATGTATTATATTTTTTTTTGGTTAAATATTCTTGACTTAAAATCTTTCAATAATTAGCTCCATTGTCTTAAGTTGACCTTATTCTTGTGTTAATTTAAATACCTAACTTATTACTTTGCAAAATTGAACTGTCTAATCTGCACACATATGTCTAGTATCTCCTAATTAATAGTTGTACTATTGCTTATTTAAAAAAATAATTACATTTATATTGTAGGTATGCTTCTATATAGTCTAATTGGTAAGTTGTTAGGTGTGTGATTTAAAAATCTAAGTAGCTTAATTTTTTTAAATATTATATTTGTTTTAATTCAATGTCTCTATTTTATAATAAACAACATAATTCATAATATTTGAAGTGATATTATTAAACAAATTAAGGCTATTTTTCTTTAACTCTTTCCCAGTGAAATAATATGCCTACCTCAACCATTGTCCTACCTATATTATTAGTGACTATCTAACCGTTTGATCTTTAATTATACATTGAACTTTGTTTGTAGGCTATTTTAATTAAATATTATCAACCAACACACACGCTCCAATTAAGCTTTAGAAATTTGATATATTTATTGTCTATTATTATGTTTATGGCCATAATTTATATTTATATAACATAACTAATAATATATAAGTTTATTTGTTGTTATATTATCTTAATAAATAATTTGTTGTTTATTAATTATGATAATTTTATTTTTTCAGGACTTAATTAATTTAAATAATTTAATATATATTTGGAACAATATCAAATAAAATGCGGGAATACAAAATAGTTGTTCTGGGCAGTGGTGGAGTTGGTAAATCTGCATTAACAGTGCAGTTTGTACAAGGAATATTTGTTGAAAAGTATGATCCAACCATAGAGGACAGTTATCGTAAACAAGTTGAAGTGGATGGACAACAATGTATGCTTGAAATTCTTGATACAGCTGGAACGGTATGTATTAAAATAATAATATACAAGTATATATAATTAGCAATTTAATATTTAAAAATAAATATAAAAGTTTATGAAGTTTCTATTTTCATCCTAATACAAGATGATTTGTAGGTATTGTTAACTAATAAATTAACTTAATATGATAATAGTTTAAAGACTGAAATGTTTTAAGATCTTGCCATGATCAATTATTAAATATTTTATAGATTCATTATAGATTATATAGATAATTTATTTATTAAAGGAATTGAATTTGTGTTGACTTAATAAACACGATTCAATAATTCCTTTTGATCTTCCAAATTTGCAGTAAACAAATTGAAGTTGGTCCTACATTAAAGTTGCATGATAAATCTTAAGTGACAATTCCAACTCATCGAAATGGAGTAAAAGTTAAAAAAATATTGATTCAGTAAATTAACTCAGTAACTTTAATAAATGTAGATATACTGTATTGTAACTTTATTGTTTTTATTGCTATCTTTAATATTTTCTTTAACCGATATTATAAATTGTATGATAGTATTAAAAACTTTGAAGCTACTGAAAAGTGGTTAAACTATAAAATAACAAAGTGAAAATAATGGGTATTATCTTATTGATAAATTTCATGTTCACATATTTTCATAATTTGTGAATTAGCAGAACTAAACTGTTTCTTTATATTTCCAATATTTTTTACCTCGTTTTTTACATTCAATCATAAAATTTGATTATTTTTCTTTAGTAGTATATATTATGTACTACGTCAATCATTTTATGTTAAACTAATGTTAAAACACTGTTTAATGTTATAGGTTAAATATTCTTGGTACATCAATCATCTTAAAAACATTTCTTTACCATCATAATTTTAAATAATTTAGTATTATGACAATTATTGTCGTAGGGGTATTTTAAAGATTTAATATGTTAGTTCTGAGTCTATGAAGCTAAACAGGAGTATTTTTACATCTTAGAAATTTAAATTTAAAAGAAAAAAATACTTTAATTAGTTAAATTTAAAAATTTATTTTTGTAATATTGAAATGCTAAATACTGTAGAAATCATAACAATAAGCATCAGATTAGAACAAAGAAAATGATTCCTTAACAGTTCTGTTTACTTGTACATTTAAAGCAAGTGTGTATAAATGAAATATTAACTACTTTTGCACCACAAAAAATATTTTATTAATAATGCTGGTTTTCGCACATAATATATATTTTATCTATTTTATGATGGTGTTTATCTATCACTGTTTAAAATAGTTATGATAACACAATAATTATTAACTAATATCTAAATTTTGACTAGCCCTTGAAATTTTTTTTTTAAATTTTCTGGACCACCAGATTTTAATTGCCGACTCCTGATATAGATGTTTAAAATCTATGTATTGTGTCTATATGAATATATACGTTGCATATATTACTGTATGTTTACCAATCTATAAACATATTTTTTTAAATATTTATGATTATAAATTTATTACTACTATAAATATTCTGTCATGTAAAATTTTCCAATCATATTGCGTTGTTATGCTGAGTAATGTATTGACATAAAACTCTAGAAGCTTTTGTTATGTATCTGAATTTTGTGCAAAAGTTCGATCATTAAAAAATAAAATTATAAAATCATGGTAATAAAACAAAATGATTTTTCTCACTTTTCAGTCTCATTACTGTACCCCAAACAATTTTGGTCCATAACATCAATATGTATTTCAGATTTAACCCAATGAAATAAAAATTTAGGTTCATTTTAGATTTTAATAATAAGACTAGTTAATTTTTACATTTTAAAATTGTATATTCTTAATGCAGTGTAAATTTTTATTTACTTATTTAATTTTTTTAATAATAATATCAAAATATTTGATGTAAAAAATGTATATTGTATCATTTCTTATATTATTAATTTTTTACAGGAACAATTTACAGCTATGAGGGATTTGTATATGAAAAATGGACAAGGATTTGTTCTTGTATATTCCATTACAGCGCAATCTACATTTAATGACTTACAAGATTTACGAGAACAAATTTTAAGAGTAAAGGTATACCATTTTTAATAGTTATTTATTAAATAAAACAACTATTGCTTTTATAACATGCCATATTAATGTATAAAAATTTAAAATTTAGGACACTGATGATGTCCCTATGGTATTAGTGGGAAACAAGTGTGATTTAGAAGAAGAAAGAGTAGTCGGCAAAGAACATGGCGTGAATCTTGCTCGTCAATTCAATTGTGCTTTTATGGAAACATCCGCTAAAGCTAAAATTAATGTCATTGATGTAAGTATTAAGAAGCCATATATGTATGTGTGTGTAACGTCCCCTCTTCACCTGATGTTGCGATCTCGCGTCGCCATACCGATAGAGTTATGTTTTGATTAACGGGGTTTCAGAGACTCGACCTCGATGTGTAATATTAATATTCTAGAGATCAGGGTTACCTTATTCAAGTAAAGCACAGTTGTTATAAATATAATGTATATTTTAACAGATAATTTGTAATTATATAAATAGTATGTAGGTTACCAATCCGGGTAGATTTGACCAGCCGTGAGTGTGGATTGAGAATGGTCGCATGAATCGTTTGAGGAGTCTTCTTATCGTCTATTCTGCTCCGCGTCGCACACACTCATTACTATACGATTGGTAATCTTTATATACCCTAGACCAGTAGTTCTCAACCGGGGTGACGCAGAATTTTAACAAGAAAAGAAATAAAAAATAATTTTTTCGAAAATAATCATATTACCTATTTCTTATAATAAATATATTATACACCTATACCACCACTGTCATGTACATAACATACCTCAAAGTTCGTATCTTTATAATAGTTTGTATTATTTATATTTAATCTTTTGGTCCGATAAACACGTGTACCTAGTAATTTGTCGTGTGATACACAGCTAAGATTGTTTATTATTTTGATATTTGGGTGACGCAGTATTTGATTCTAGTGACTGAAGGTGACATGAATCAAAAAAGGTTGAGAACTACTGCCCTAGACTGCTGCCTTAAAGCTTTAGGTCAGCAGTCTGCCTCGCTAGCCATTCCTCACACTCAGCATTTTAACAATGTGTGCTCTACTTAAGGAATAATGTACGATGTCGATAGATGACAATCGTTACATGTGTATTTTATTTTATTGATAGTACAGTAGTTAAAGTAGTAAAGGTATCCTTGTATGTTTAATTTCATTCCCTTTATTATTATTATTCTAATTTTTTTTTTTTTTTAGAAACATCAAAGTGTGAGTATTTAATAAATTAGTATATATTTTCATCGTTAATATTTTAATAAACTAGTAATTTGTATTGACTTCATATTGAAAATTTAAATATTCTACTCGATATTCTATTATTTATTTGTTATATATTTATAAATAATGAATTTTTATACTTAAAAAAATTAATTTCTTTTAATTTTTTTTGTAATTATTTATTATTATTCTGCCATCTTTGTCAAAGTTTATTGTTGCTTTAGCGTGTTACCACTAAAAATTTTTTTGGTAGTACGAAATGTTACAAATAACAGAATTTTCAAAATTAATATGATCTTTGTTACACGAAATTTGAACATTTAAGATTTGTACAATAATTAAATTGATTTAATATAAACTAAAACTAAAAACTTTTGTTTTAATATACTAAAAATGTAATACATATATATATGTGTGTGTGTGTGTGTGTGTGTGTGTGTGTGTGTGTGTGTGTGTGTTTACATGATTTAAGTTTATAAAATAAGATTTAATGTCAGCTCTGTTTCGTTAATATGAATCTGACTTATTTATTTTTATGTAATATATCAATTTAATTTTAAATTATCATCCATAATAAGTACATCTATTTACAAAATGTTAGTTATTTATTTTTTTAATTAATTTTAATTGGGTTATTAAATAAAAAATTGTATTTGTTTTAGATATTCTATGATTTAGTGAGACAGATCAACAAAAAAAGTCCAGAGAAAAAACAGAAACAAAAAAAGAAGTCGCTATGCGCTCTTCTCTAAATAGCTTAATAACAATGATGATACAACAATCAATACCATCAATCCACGTAGAGAAAAAGGAAAGTTTAACAATGTGGTAAAAATATTGTTTTATGAGTCAATGCTAAATTTGTTATTGCTTACTAATTTTTATTTTAAATGGCTAAATCGACTTTTCCAAATTGCTTTTGTACTTTTTTTTTTTTTTTTTAATTTATAAGTACCTAATTATTATTATTATTATTATTATTATTATTATTTTATTGTTCATTATTGGATATAGCCAGAATTGTAATATTTTTTCTGAGGCCTGGATCTGTAAATACCATTAATTATAAAAAATTTACACAATCTAACAACAATGTGTAATGGGCCGTTTTTTTGTTTATAAATCTAATGTGTCAATGATCCTTTATTTTTTTTAATTTATTTTTTGAAAACTTAAACCTTTTTTTCTCTCTATTATTGAAATTATATTTTAAAAAATAAATATTCTTGACATAGTTTTCCATTAAAGTGCCAATGTTTATAGTTAAATATAGATTTCATTTATACATAAAATCTGCAATGTATCATTTCTCAATTTAAAGTTCATAACTCATCAATTATATTTGTTAAAATATTTACTCATTAACAAACGTTCCAATTATAAAATTGTGATTATTTTGAAAATTATGCTGCCAATAATAACTGTTGTTTCTTGGTAATTTAAAAATCTGCACCTGAGTTTTAGATTTGCAATACATCAACCATGACATACTGAATTTTTGAATTATTCATTAATTTTGGAAACATCATAAACTTGAAACTCCCTTGGCATAATACATAAACTTAAAATAATAAATTTATCCATTCCAATACTAATTTTATTACTATTTCTTTTTCAATATTATTACATATAAACAGAGTTAAAAAATATATATACTTATTATTTATAGCACATAAATTATAAAATAACTAAATAACCAACTAAAGTAATGAAGTGTTTAAAAATTGTTTCATTTTAAAAATGTTAAATTCCCGGAAAGTTTTTAGTGTAGTTATATACTTATTTATTAGCTACCATACAATTCGTATACATTTGAATTGTACATAAATATTGTATTTAGGCCTAAAGCTTGTCTAAATATATTATTATAGTTTGTCTTTTATCTTAACTGAGCTTATGATTATTATTGTATTATTTCATTGATTGTTTTAAATCGCGTTTTCAATCATCCAGGGTTTAAGATAAACACCAGTTATAAGTATAATAGGTCTACCTGTTAGAACTTGATGAGTATTTTCCATATATTGTGTGCTATTCTTCACATTCTTAATTTATTGATATTCATTTATTTAACTTATAAACTATAATTATAATATAAAAGACAATTTTAAATATTAATATTCTGTTTGGAAAACCTTGGATTTCATTAGTCTCATACTATTTTTTATCAAAAAATTGAAAATTAATTTTATTCATTCAAGGTAGAGTTTTATGTTAACCGTATATTTTTGCACTATGAAAATCTAATAGATTCAATCCTACTCATAAGACAAATATTTTTTTCAACTAAAAACATTGATCGAACAATTCCTTATTCATGTACTATGTTTCAATCTGGCATAATACTTTATGATCATCCATATTTTATTTATTTAAATATTAAATGGTTATAGTTTCTGTATATTGTACCTGTATGTATGACGCACAATAATATTCTTGTGATAACGAACAAACATAATCATTTATAACTTCTGTTATTACAAAATTTGTATAATCACACAAGGTACTCGTTTAAAGTTATTGTGACTAAAAAACTACAAGATAAAAATTTTTTATTCTTTTAAACAGCATTTTTTTGACACTAAATAAAATTGATGTTTGTAGCTTAGAAAAATTTAGCATTTTCCTAAATAAAATTAATTTTTTTTTTATTATTATTATAATATATGTATTTCGACTTGTTAACAATTTTCAATTCTAATAGTTGTTTAATAAATATTACTTAACAAACCCATAATTGTAAGGATGTGCAAATACATATAAATAAAAAAAAAAATGTTTATAAATATATATTTAAATATATATATATAAATAATTTTGTGTATGTATTTATTAATGAATTACAGAAGTGTAATTATAGGTACCATTTATGCATTTATATATATTTAACATATAAGTGTTTGTAGGCCAATATTTAGTATATTCATTTATAGTATGAGTCCTAATTCTTTTAATATTGACAACAGCATAATTAATTTAAAATACAATTTTTGAAGTAATTGTTTACTTTTATTATTTTTTTTTTTTTTTTATGCTTATAAAAAATAAATAAATGAAACCAAGTTTTAGACAATATTATTGTTGGTAGAATGGTAAAATTTCATTAGTGGTTTAATTATTTATTTTACTGCTATTTTTTTTTTTTACGTATTTCTTCATAAACATGTAAATGTTAATATTACTTATTTATTTTCTATCTAATTATACATTTAACAACTAATTCCAATTACACTAAAAGAAGAAAATAACTTTATTGTATTCATACTGATAAAATGGTTTTTATATGTCTGAACCGTTATGATCTTCTTAATAAACATATTGTCTATTGTGTTCTGTGTGTTGTATAAACCAGAGGACCAATTTAATTATGCAAAACTTATTAAGTGTGTTCTCTAATCGTACTGTATAATATTGCATTCTATTTATTGTTAAACCCATTTTAATGATTTATTGTTTATATAATCTTATTTTATATGTCTGTATACATACATATATTATTTTTATTTATCAATGTATTGATTATTTTATTATTTATTATTATTATTAATTATTTTTATTTTTTACCTAGTATAGATTCTAAAAGCAAATAATATGAAATATATATTGGACCCAAGTTATTAAAGGATGTGAATTAATAACAATAATAATAATAATGATAATTCATTTTATGTTTTATTTTATAAAATAATCAAACAACTAGTAGGAGTGTTAAATGTACAGCACAAACTAGTGCACAAACACCCTACTGTAGTTAATTTTTTTTTTTTTATGTTATATATATCTTATTATTTTGTAATTGAAATTGCACTCGCAGAGAGTGTACAGCTGCGATATAAATTAGTACTATTTCTATATGTCTTGTATTAATTACACAAGGTGTTTTATTCTTATTTTTAAATGTTTATTTAACTAAATATTTCAATTATCGTAAAAAAGTGTCGCATTATTCCTTTCACTTTGATCACTATTTATCATTGTAATATAAATTAATATATAAAATATATTGTAGTAAATTATTTTTCAAAAACTCAACCATATACTAAAATATTACATATATTACAAATAATGCTCGTCTAGGTTTTAATTTACGTGAACTGCTAATCAGGTGTTTTGATTATTCGATTGGTCATGATATTATATTATTGCATGGTATCCAATATACCATTATAAACGTATATGTTTGGGTCCGTGTAGTAATGCAATAATTAATTATATAATATGTTTACTACAAAACTACTTGCTATCATGTTTTTTTTTAATTTAAATATATGATGGATAATAAGGAAATTTACTAAATTGTATTACCATGAAATAGCGACTTCAGAAAATCATTTAATATGTATGTAATAATATTATCTTCTGAATGTTAATCTTATTTAATATAAAAATTTGATCATGATTACCATGATGGCTATTCATATTGGACTGTCATACTAAAAAATTTAAAAGAAAAATGTTTATTAATTTATTCTTAAATAAAATATGTATACCACTATTTAGTTTATTATATTGTAATTAATAATTATTTTTAATTTCGATCAAAAAAAAAAAAAAAAAAACATTTATTATATTTGTATAGATGCAAATTAATTGTATTTAAAATTCCTATTTTGTATTTTATATTATTAGTTTTTTTGAAACAGCAGCTACAAGCAACTCCTAAAGTCTACCATTTATTGGCTGGTTTTAGGTGAAGTGAAAAATGTATTGTTTTTACATTCATGTTTATTATTATTATTATTATTTTTTTTTAATAATTACAACTATAATTAATATCTTTATTTGCAAACGAGTGTTGTTTGATAATGTTGTCGCATTAAGAAATTTAAACAGTATTCATCTAGTATTAATATAAGTGTAAATACTGGAAATCAACTCTATAAATAACTTTAGGATATTTTTAAAGTAATCTCAGCAAGTATGGTTTTAACTGAAATGGAGTTTTATGTTTTTCTTTTTATACATAATAATTTATTATCGATCACAATCAAAATATATTGATTATGTATTCATTATACACTTACTCATTCGTTTACACATTTACCTTACTTGCTGAGCTAGTGAGATGATTGTAACTAGATTATTACTCAACAATTTATTGTTCAAATGAAATGTAAATCAAGCAAACACATCCTTTACCTTTTAGCATCAATTTCCACAAGTGACTTGAATTTATAAAATAATAAATGGTTTTTACATATATATCTGCAAACAGTAATCAAAAATCTACATTTTTAATGTTTAACTGATGAAAGTTAATAAGTAAAACAATCATTGATATTTGTCTTCAATTAGGTGTCATTATTAACTTTTTTATGGTTGAATATTTATTTGTGCATTTGTGGTCGTATGTATTTAAATTGTTCATATATTATCATTGTACAGAATATTTTACTGGACATTTGATTTAACAATAAAAAAAAATTAAGTACCTACCAGTTAGAAAAATAAAATAATTCAATTTAAACTAGTTACATCATCAGTCACAAATCAAGGTTTGTTTAATTTCTAATATGTTGATATCATGTTGCCTGTATTAGATATCATTATTGGAATTAATGAATTAAAATAATAGTATTTTAATATTATGAATTGTAATCACAATAACATTAAGATTGACAATTGCCAGACTTAGTGTTATTTTATATTTTAATCATAAAAAATTTGTGTCTGCCATAAATCATATCTTTGAGAAGTAGGTGTCATACATGTATGTAATGTATGCTGATGCCACAGCTTTCGACTTGGAGGGCCCATTATTGCTCAACGTTCCACAAAAAAAAAATAAATTAAATAAATACAAATATATAAGAAAAAGTAAATACATTGTTTTTATAAATTCATTTGAATGAAACATTAATTCAAACAAAACCATTAAAAAACAGAAGAAGAGCAATTAGAAAAAAGA